ATTATGAAAAATACACACAAACTTATTAATACTAGTTACCATTTCGCATAAACATAGTTTTAGTAACTTTTAGGTCTTGAAATAAGCTAATCGTAGACGAAAGAAAAACCTTCAAAATACTGAAAATAAAAGAACCTAAGAAAAATTAAGAAACGACTACACGTTTTAACAGACTCTTTTATTATATTCTACTATTTTTGAAGGTAAACGATAGCATTACTGCTCAAGCGATAAAAGTATAAATAATCAATAACAAATAACTAACTTGTACGTTGCAGTTTGTAACTGAATTTGTATGATAGCAAAAAGACGAGGTAGTTTTAAAAGCAGTTCTATTGGCCGATCAAGTACCAACAAACCAAGAGTAAAGAAAGCAGGAGAATGTTTTGTAGTCAAATTTAATGCATGATTGAACATTGAAGCTATATCAACATTGAAAATATTATTTGAAGTAACCATCTGCGTCTTTCCAAATGATGAAAGACGTGGAAAAATTTCAAGCAATGTTGTTTGGCAACAAACATAACGTGAAGTGCATGCCAGATTACACACTCGATATATCTGAAAAAGCACGTTAAACAAAAAGATGAGAGTTCTGCATAATAAAAAAAATAATCAACTGTTTCCAGACGTTGAAATTTTCTTAGAACCATTCAATGTTATGTGTAGAAAATTATTTTTCGCTGACGAATACAGGAACATAAAGATTTAATTATTATTTCATTTTTCATATCATATTGTACATTCTCGCGTATGGAAAAGTTTTTTAATAGATAATTACCCTTGGAGATAAATAAACATTTGCACCACGGAAAATCCAACTGAAAACAGTTAAATTCTGAAACGGTTTTCTTCCAAACCTCATATCTATAACATGAATTTAACTTTACTATAAAAATTATTATTAAAGGCATAACTAAACTAACGTCACTAAATTTTTCTGCAATAAGCTGATTAGCAGTTCGACTATCAACAGTAACTGAATATGTGCGCTCCGTCAACCAATCTATTGCATTTGATCCAATTACTGTTCGAACATTCTGCTGTGGTTGACAACCAAGCGCTAGGATGCGTTGACGCTCAGCCGGTGCATTACCAATACGAAGTAGTTCATTCAGTATCAGAAGCATGGGATGTTGCCTTTCATCTCGATTTAAACCATCAAATTTCAAAGAATTCATTGCTTCATCATAACAGCGCTAGAAAATAGCAGTTTATCATAGTGATTAAAACCACCAAATAATTCCAAAAGTTTTATGAAAAAGCTGAAAATTATTATATCATCATACTCAGAAAAATTTTCACTTTTCTTGGACTAAATCATCGACCTGTTGGTAAATATAAAAATCAACCATATCTCAGTAATGAACCACAACCATCTAAGCGGTATTAAAATGATCTGTAATTTCGACGGAAACACTTTCAGTTAGCTAATCTTCATATTTAACAACCACATTTCCACGGGAATACAATTCATAGCCTTACTCCGTCATGCTGAACTGGACATGTCAACTCTTCAAAAAATTGAATGATATTCAGCATCATCCAGCAGAAACCAGACGTAATGGAGTAAGGAACTTTTTTATCCTCCAATTTTTCGACGACAGTATAGATAGATAAAAACAACTCATCGATAAAACGGAAGACTATGCATCAACAACAGTTTATTCATCGTGCTTGGATACATCTTTTGCTACTGTTTTTTTTTTTTTTTGTCTTTACCCATATTTTGTTTCAGTAGTGTATTTAATACATGTTAGTTCTTTCTGATCAGCAACTATGATCTTGTGAATACATTGCTGTCAAGTATTCAGCAGAATCGTGATGAAAATGATCAAAGAAATAGTCCTTGTTTATCCAGAAATCACAGAAAATAGAGGATGTAGACTAAAATTTGAAAAAAACTTACCCAGTACCATTCAGATTTCTGATGTGCTTCGCGTTGTGATGTAACCGTAAGGGCAGCATGCAAAGCCTTAGTAGCTGCTATTCGTACCGTGGCCTAAAACGTATCACTCTAATTCTGAAGATAAAGCACTAAGTAAAAGAAAGAAAAAAATGTACCTTAGTACTACAAAAATTAATAATTAATCTTCCAGTAAAAAATCCTGCTATGAAGAACTGCTGTCTAATTCATTACTCGAACCAAGTGTACTGTCTTATCTAAAAAGACAGCAGAACTTCAAATTACAAAAAAAAAAAAAACGCTTTTTTTTCCTTTAACTTTTTTAAATGATCTTATGATCTTCAAAAAATTCTGAAACATTTCAAACCTTAGGATCTCTGATAACTTTGAAAATATTGGAAAAAAAATTAGATGCACGCAGAAAAAATGATGTTGACGTATATAAGGCCAATTGTCTTGCCAGAAAAACGGCAGCAAGACGACGTGATTCATGTCGCTCAGATTCTTCAAGCCATTCACACACCTATGAAAAACTTCAAGTCTCAATGTTCTAATATTTACTAATATTATACAATTAATTTCAGCAGTTAGTCTAAACAAAGCAAAATCAAATGCACCATCAGAGACATATTTCTAACTGTTGTAAACTTCTCCAATTCAACAAGCATCCCTTCTAGAACCAAAAGATGAAATTGATAAATAGAGGAAGTTACGCTATGAATAAGAAAAACCTGGTTAATGGATTTTTCGACTAGCTCAGCAGCAAATGTCTTCGACGTCTGAATCAAATAAGCAATTGCCCTGGCAACAAGCTTCATACCAGCTTCATCGCCTTGTACTAGTGCTTTCAGAAGATATTTAGCAAAACGTGGGACACGTTTTGTTTCATCACCAGCATTTTCCACCAGACAAGCTAAAGTCTTCCATCCAACATTATAAAGAATAAAAAAGTATAATGTACTTAATATAGCTCTGATAAAATTAGTAAGAATTTGAATATCTACTGAATCACGAGATACCTATCAAAATAATTCCTGCCTTTCTTTCGTCATTATCCAAACTCGTCATCAACGTATGTATAGCACTCTGAAAACCTATGAAAAATAAAGTTTCGCTTTCTATATCTAATTTATTTTTATTCGTAATAACGCAAGATGATACATACCTAATTATGTGCGTTTGATTTCATTAGATAAGCAAAGACAATGGAAGCACTGACACTTTTTTTCTTACAACATTATATGCTTGATATAATTCAAACAAAATCTCTTTCAGTTCTATTACCCACATGACTAATAACCTTTGAAGAAGTTTAAGAACGAACACAGTTAACAACAAGGCAGAATTAAATTAGAATCCAATCAAATAACGAAATTCAGTTATAATGAAAACGGATAACTTGATGCAAATAAGTAGTTGAGAAAAACCAGTTGCTGACAGTTTCATATATCTAGCAAAAAATTTAACAGGAAAAGTTAGCGGTTTAAACATATAAATGTTTCGAAGAAATAAAATAAAAAGTTAATGCCTTTCAACCTGATCAACTTTTGCATCGAATGTTGCAAAAAATTCCGCTGCAAACTGATCACTGCTATCACGTAATTCCCCATTTATATAGCTGTAAAAAAAAACCGATTTAATAAACAACTGATGAACTGTCACTTCTTTCATAGAAGTGCTTTGAAATTTTTTGACCTTCATGATTACTTGGAATGGAACTTATAACTTACATATTCCAAGAATAAGACAGTTTAGTAGACTTGTATTATCTTCATTCAAAAGAACTATTTCTAAAGAGAAAATTGTAAAGATAATCTCAGAATTATATGCCTTGTCTTCTTCAAAGATTTACAATTTCTGTCTTGTACTAATATGAGATCATCCATCAATTTCCCAGCAAAAATTTCAAATTAGAAAGCATTAGTTTCTTACTCATAAAGTTGTCTGGCAACCTTCAATCGATTTTCATCACCTCCTTTCTTCCTTAAACGCATAAGAAAATCAGCTGCGATCGCTCGTGCAGATGTCTCTCGAATACATGAATCCATTCTGCAATCAATTTTCATCAAAAAATGCAACAATTTGTTTGAAATTTTAGATGTTGTAATAACAACAGCGACAAGAAAATAGCACAAACACGTAGCTATCACTTTAAATCACTAATAAACATAGAAAAATGACTGTAGCTGAAGTTTAATAAACACAAGACTTCACAAAGATACAATTTATTAAAATAAGAGTTGAAAACTGGTAATAAGCATTAGTTATGTCAAGATAAGAGAAAATCAGTGATCATCTTATCGTAGGTACAAAAAACCCTATAAATATTAATGGATGGAAGAAGTCAAGTGAAGAAAGTTAACAATTAAATGAAGTAATCAGAATAATTAAAGATTTCACAAACGTAGGACTACCATATCAGTGGAAATCTCGATTACCAACTACAAATATAAAAAAGTTAACGATTAAATAAAATTTAGTATAATGTCTGAAAGTGAAAACGAAGATACACATTTGAATCAAACTAACTGATATAGTCAAATAATCGAAACAAGGAAAGATAACACGGGAAAATCAGGAAAGACCAAAACTTGATATTTGAAAATGGAAAGTTATACGAAAAAAGGCAATAAGAGTACTAAAGAAATATCAAGAAATTTAAACATTATGAGAAGAGAGATGGAGAATAACAAGAATAGAATTGCAATGATTAACTCTAATAGAGTAAAGCGCACATATGATTAAGGAGCTTGAATCTTTGGATCGAGCAATAAGGTTCCAAAATTCTAAATCAAGCCATCATAGATAACATAAATGTTGCATTCTCTTAAGCGATGTTATTTTAAGGATAACTGATAATTTACAACAGAATAATGAAAAGTTGAAGATTAAAGATATCAAATTAATTAAAAAATAAATAATTAAAATTAATAACTAGGAACAACTGTCGCATTTCAACCTTGGAGACCTTGGTGAGAGCAACATTATTCGTAGTACCCTTTCATACTATTGACATTAATAGCTAAGATTAAAGATTTGAAGCATCAATTAGCTAATTAAATATCGACTGATTAAATTAGCCAATGTTAACCAATTAATTAAATTTCAGGATTGAATCTGGCTGACCACAGCAGTGTATACCTACATAATCCAAGCACAAAAAGGGCAACGAATAGCCAATTCGACCGCCAATCGCGATCGCTAGTCGACAACGTTCATTTGCCTCCTGAATAATACTGCCCAGCGGCTCGTTAAATGTGAACAGTCGGTGCAGCTCTCTGCTGTTCTCTTCAGATTTCATCCTATGCACTGACAGAATTATTATGTTTTATCTGATTAGGTATTGGATTAATTAACATTAGTGATTTAATTGTCAAATGTTTTATACTTATTAACTTGAAAGGTGTATCTCTCGTAAACGAGATTTATCATTTTATCATTCCATAGGTTTAAACTTGAACTAATTTTTGTTTCTTTCAATTTAATTTCTGCGATTGGATAGTATATTCTCTCTTATCTGAATAAGTCAATTATTTGCATGGTATGAGGCACTTACTCTCTTAATTTTACGTGTAATGAAGTTCTCTTATTTCGGTTCTATAGTTACACTGATATCACTTAAAAAGCTCACTAATTCATAGATTTTAGTTTTTGATTTATAATTCTTCCCTTTAAAAATATCTGTTAAAGCTATGTAAGACACGTTTAATCATAATGATGATAACGAACAGAATAATGATGATAACGAACAGCTATAATGATGGCGATAGCAATGGTGACAATGAAATAAGGTACCGATAAGAATTAACAAGATATGATCATCAGTTCGAACTATTCTCTGGGATCTAAAGATAGTATTTGTCTGTATTTCAGTGATGTTTGAAATGTTCATTAAGCTTATACTGCTCTCCACAACCAGCTGCTTTTGCTACTATGTTCCAATAAGTATTATGAAGTCGAACGCATGAAATTTTGGATTCATAATAAGCATAACTGAATAAAAAGTTTATTTTAAAAAGCACTGACAATGTTTCAGTTACGTACCTTTTCAGATCTAATTTCACAAGTGCAAATTTATCAAGTACTGATAACGATAACAATAATAGATTTAACGATATTGCAGCTTTAAGCTTGTCTTTTATAGTAATTATACAAGTTACTTCAGCTGAGAATCGCAAAATAACAGGATGTATTCAGGGAATAATGGTCAAAGATGTGGTCTTATGAGGTGAGTGAATGAATTGGTTGCAATTTCATGACTTAAATATGAATGTTTTCAAATGATCTTTTACTGCAGACTCATGCGGTTCATTTTTAGTACTAAGATACTCCTACTAAATATGTCGTTGTGAGCAGTTATGTATGAAGACAAAAACCATAGCAGTATCTCGAGATTAAAATGAAATCAATAAAGCTGTTAATTTTCAGACCGGTTTCAGCTGATAGTGGACCGGTATTCCGCAATTATCAATATTCGGTTTCTTAACTGGTCTTTATCTTCTTCATTTTCTATATTTATCAGGCACAAAGCGCAGAGCTGTATGATATGACTAATCAAATAGAACTTGAAAGGAGCCGACATATTAAATTGAAATCGGAAAACATTGGTTAGCACAAATTGATGTGTTATATTACATATTTTAATTAAAACGACTACGTTTCATTTCAGCATTTAATTTTAAGTTATAGCGTGCTTTTCTATTAGCTTGTAGTGCTTTGATTGCAATAAATAAATTTATTTATTGAGAACTTGTTCTAATAATTGATTTGCAGAACTTTTGCAAAAATAATTGATTTCGAGTTTGAAATAAAGAATACAAATGCTTCATTGGTGTTTTGCAGTTGGAAAAGTGCAAAAGCTGGGAAGCGAGTTTGAAAAATGAGTAAGTTGTGCGCTTGGGTCAGAAAGGTTCATTTCCAAATACAGATTCTATTGGCTTTTCCTTAGAAAGTTGAAAGTTTTTTCGACATAAGATGGATAAAATTTTTTTTATAGAATTTCCCACGTTTTTTGAAGTTCTTCTCTCGAAACATGCGTAATTTTTGCATGGATTGTTATTTGTTAATGGATTAATCTTATACAGAATGCAATGGAAAATTGGCGAAACAGGATAATGTCCATTATGCATAACCAATTTAAAATAGTTGCTGGACGATAAAGAGTTTGTTTTTTTCTCTAAGTTTTCTTTTGAATTCTATAAAAACATAATATTTATGTAATTGATCATGTACACTGTTTTATAGAAAATATATTTTTCTTTGAGAATAAAATAATTCTATGTCTTATTTCTAGGACATTGTTTTACTGCGGATTTATTAATTAATCTGTAAGTTTCCAGTTCTACTTCTTAATTCTCTTCTCTCATACATGTGCTAATTGTTTTTTATTATTTAGTATGTCAAAAAAAAGGAATTTTCTCATCTATCTTAAATTATATAAGGCATATCTCATTGGTTTTAGCATTACGCAATAGAGCTACCATTTTTAATGTCGGTGGATTATCTAGATGAATATATTTGAGATGTTAAATGCCAAACACAGATTTCATGGTTTGCATCTTTCAATTTATTTAACTCTTCAGCACGTGTTTCATTGCATTGAATTCGATGAAAGCTGAATTGGTATGTGACTAATTCCTTAAACAGTAATCGAAGGATTTGATTACTGTGTCTCAATGATGGTACATTTGCATACAGATGTTTGCGCAAGCCTCGAGAAAGTAGTTTAAATTACTACTTATCGAACAATTGCGTTTATTTATTTAATTTGGCGGCTATTCATTATTAATATAAAATCAAAAGCTAACACAGTTATTAAAATAAGATTTGTCGAAATTTAGGCGGTGGCAAAACTAAGAATTACTACTTTGCGAGCCAATTCTACTCTCTTAGAAAGTGTGTTGGAAATGCCGAAGAAACCTGCTAAAAGGTTTCATTTCTTTTTTTTCAATGAAATTAAATTTGTGTTTTTGAGCCTGATTAAATCATAAAGAGCTAAACGACCGGACGTAAATGGCATTGTATTTGTAAGCAGTTGTGTAAAGAACTTCATCGACCAATAAAGTGAAAGTTCTTTGTTTTTAATTCCATTTTTTTTTTAATTTAGCTTGAAACTTTTTTAACTTAGTTTGAAGGCACGGTTTCAAGGAAAAATGCGTTAGAAAGTATTCCCGTGGAGTCCAATTTAATTATTTCGTCACTGTCGATAATTCAAGATGATGATGAACCAGACAGTCGGGAAAATACCTTAATTAAAGATGGAGAAATAATAAACAAAACCGAGCATAATCCATTTCCCAATGCTTTCGTGGTGAATTTTCTTTTTTTTTTTTTTTTTTTTTGAAATTGACAGTTCACATTCATTTTCATCTCAATTTCCTTACCCGTAATAATGGATTTTGTTTTTTAGACGTAATTAATATGGCAAATGAGTGAGTATTTATATAAAAGTATATCTAACTAAATAATTTGATCCATGTATGGTAATGAAGATTTTATAGTGTCAGAAATACTCTGTTCTACAGAGTTTTCACATGACAAATTATATGAATATCATTGTGAAATAATGTTGTTACCTTCTTCATAATTGTGATTAGTAAATAATTTTAGTTTTATCAACAAGAAGCCGTCTTATCAGAGTCTGTTGCATTCAGAATTCTGAAACATGTTGGTGTCAAGTCCACTAATAATTATCATGCCATTACGATCGTTTCAGTCCCTCGTAAGCTAAATGATTCGTTTCGAAATTGGTGTTACAGAAAAATCATTGCTTTCCATTGCTTTCCAATTCGTTAACATATTTTTTAAGACGTTTTCAAATGAATTTTGAATTTCATGGAGATTGATTTCTAGAAGACGCAGCTCAACATGGTTAACTGAATTTTCTTGGCTCACTTTTTCTTGCAGTTAGAAAATCACTTCAAGCTGAAAATGAGACGAATCCGAAGACTTCAAATATTCCGGTTTGTTTCCAAAATCCCTTTCCACAGGTGTTGTCAGGGAAAAGAAAGCTGCTTTATTATGTTTCAATTTATTATTCCATTCGTGCAGAGAGATTTTGATTATACACTTTTGTTTTCTGTAGATGGAAAATATGGAAAGCATTAAATAAATGATAAGCATTGTTCTATATGCTCGGTTGAATATTGTTGACGTCTTGGGTATGAACGAACAACTTTCCTTTGTTCAGAAGAAAGACCAAATGAAAAAAAGCGTGTGGGATAGTAATGATATTGGTAAAAGGCAAGGAGTTGGTAATAAATATAATAATTAAGATGGAGCAGATGCATAGGATATAGTTGAAAGTTTGTAAGATGTTTTTGAGTTTTCCAATTCTTCACTTTTTTGTAATTATTACTTTTAAACATTGTTCACTAGAAGATAAATTTTTCAACAGTTCTGATTTCAAATATTTTTTGTAGTCTTTGCGAAAACTTTGTTGAAATCACTTTCAGCATAATTATATTTGAACGAACTTCGGAAATTTTTCATCAGTTCTGTAGAAAATCATTTTGGTTATATCATTTGTCGATTTTATAATTTGATACATCCGCGTTTTGTTTTGTTTTGTTTTTGTAATCCTTGTTTGTTTAGTCAAAATAGTTTGATCTGCAGAATAATCGAAATCAATTTTCATTCTAGCCACTGGTTTGCCAGCTTATATGCAGAGGTTTCTTCAAAGCCAAAGAATAATTTTCTCTTACAAGACTTACTGCGATTTTGCTACTTTTAGTCCATTCATTTTGCTACTTTTAGCCCATTCATACTTATTCTCTGTAATATTCATCTTTCGAATTTGTTACTTTTAGGGTATTGTTGTTATATTCTGTGGATAAATAGTCATAATAAATTGCCTCAACCCTTCCTTTTGTCCTTTATTTTTATCGGCAAGTGATGCTTGATTATCAATGGATTGTCACTAATTCTGGTATTTTTTTTTTTTTTTTTGATCTTCTTGATCACAGTTGTGTTGTAATATTACGATAACCATTGCTTCGGATTTTCCAGTAAAATATACTTTTTTTCTGTTTAGAAATATTTAGATTATGATTTATAACCTTCCCTTGAAATATAATTTCCATTCAGATCAGTTTGTTTTCTCATATATAAATCTTTTAAAAAACATTTTTCCTTTCACCCTTTCCACTGAACAGTGGGTAAGTCCCTACATATTGAAAATTACGGCATCTTGGCGATATAGCTGGACCTCTTATTTGCAGTTCTTTTGATTGCTTAAATTTCCTGCAAGACAAAAATAGACGACTACCTAATTTTTAGACATGCTATTTGTTTTCAACTAAAACTGTAACAATTTAACAAAACACTGCCATCGCTATAAGTAGCTTAAAAGCATATTTTCCATTCGGTGTGGTATTTAGGACAACTTTAAAACTCGAACTAAAATAGTTTTATTTTTAGTGATGTAATTAAATACAATATTCCTCCAGTACCATTTTTTAAACCCAAAATTATTTAAATTTCCATTTCTAAGCGGAAAATAAAACCTTCGTGATACAACCATTTTCCGAATTAATTGCGCACTTTGACCGTAGAAAGAACCACTACTGTGTAAAATTGCAACACGACAAAGTTGGGAACCATGTGCGGAATCCTTTCAACCACTGCCTTATTAGTGTTGTTGGACATATAATTAGCACTGGATCAAGGCCAGAAAAACTATAAATAAATAATTTGATAAAGATTCAGAAAAAAAAAAACCTACAAATACTTCCTTAACAAACTACAGATATTAAGGAACCATAATATATAATAGTTTGATGATTACCTGAATCCTCTATCCTCCAAACATAAAAATGCTAGCCTCCTTAGGAATGAAATCTTGAACTGTTTTTCCAAGACCCACCTCATCAGCTAAAATGCCACCAACACATTGATTATGCAGTTCATTCAACCACCTTACACCAGTTTTTTGATACCGGTAATGATTCAAAACAATGTTGCTTTTATTAAAACTTGAATTACTTCGAACAACCTACGGCTTTAACTTTATTCTGATTATGCACCCTACCAACTTCTCCTTCATAACTTTGCTTTATGTTTTTCTATTCAAAACTAGCAAATAATAGTAAGGATAAATCCGACAAACTTAATTACTGCGTGATGGAACTTTGGCACTTGACATAGGAAAACTAACAATCTCTAAAGTATATTTTAATTTTAGTAGATTCTCTTACTCTATTTTAAGTATTCATATGAATGACCAATGTACAAATAACCCCGTTTCCAAACTTCATGCTAAACAAAATTCTAATCTAGTAGAATTAATGGAGTATTTCATATTTGAACATTACCAATATTACACATCCGCTATGTTATCTACAAAATCTCCTGAAAACAGATTAAACTAATGATTTCTCCTTGTATAAATTACTTACAAGAAAAACAAACTTGTAGAGCTTTTCCCAACAATCCTTAAGTATTTTTATGTCATTTTTCAATTCGTGAAAATCACTATCCTTTGACTGACTTCCTCCATTTTCAATTTTTGAAAGTTCCAGTTGAGCAAGATGGGTCCTGAACATAAAAATAAGAAAACTGTATTTATTTAAATAAAACCTATTAGATTCTAAAATATCTGGTCACAGAAATTCTTTGCGAATAAGAAACTCAGACATCAAGTGTCAATTAGTTATTGATTCGTTTTGTACCGTATTCTTTTCCTAAAGTAATCATCGTCAGCATCATTTCATTCTTTCCTGTCAATTTTTCTCGTCTTTACAACTTTTCGTGAACGTTTGTTTTTTACTTCGGGTTCTATTTCAGACGACGTATTTCCATCATCTTCACTTTGAGCAAATTCACTATCGGATGTAAAACTCACTAGTTCGTCACCTTCCAACTGCACTGCAATGTCTGCCTGATAAATGAAAGTGCATACATAGTGAGAAAGCGTAACTGTTTATCACTCTTCCGTAGAAACTTGTCGAACGAAAAAAAAAGATAAATTGAAAACAGAAACATTCAAATAAGATTTAGAAACGAGTTATACCTTTCGCTTCTTACCCATTTTCAGTTCTTCCAGCAGAGTTTCTGAAGTATCTCTTTGTGATTTATCAAGCACTTCAAAAGGAGTCATATCACCACTTTCTACAAGTGTAGATTGTGGATTTTTAACTATAAAATTCTGCAATCCTTCTGCATTTGCATCCTGTGACACTCCAGTTTCCAAGGCAGCAACATTTTCAGTAAATGTCTTTTCAACCTAGAAATGAAGAGCAAAAATACACATTATTATAAAATGAAATAGCACAAGATAAGCAAAGTCTCGTACTAATTTATATGAATAGAAACAATAATGTTATCAGTTTAATTCGCTCACTTATTTCATTTCAAAGGGACTTGTTTAATTTAGTAGATCATTCATTAAAATGCCTCAACTACCGCTGCAAATATTAAGAAAACTCTTTCCAAAGATAGAAAAAATAGAATACGAAAATTTTACTTTAAAGTAATTTCTCTTAAAATTTATTGTAATCAATGTATAACAAAGAAAATTTTTTTCATAGTTTGACGCTCATATAATTATATATTATATGAAGTTAATTAGAAATTACTCATAGAGAAAAATTGCTATGCCTGTTGCAGTAAGCCTTGTTCAAGCTTAGCAGCACTGTGTACAGCAACATTACTGCTATCAAGTGCCGCAAGATCATCCACATTTTTCCTGTCCTCCCCAATTTCTTCACGATTAAAACTAAAAGTTATTCGTCGATAGCAATCCCATTCATTTTTTCTATTATAATCTTTTTCCTGTTTACTGAGATCCATTTGAAAGAACAAAACATCAAATTGATCGTCACACACTTCTTAAAAACGTAGTACCTATATTGCATTATAGTAGTAAAAACTTTCTTGCAATTATACATGTAACAATTTGATAAGATAAAAGCTTCATGAAATTATCACCGTTACATCTATCACAAATTAAAAATAAAACGCATAGCGATGCACTAGATATCACTGTAAGAGTATTTTTTTTTTCTTAAAACAACCAGTTATCATTATTCATTTTATTGATCACTGACAATTCAACAACACTTAGTCATACAATCATACCTATTAATTTCAATAATTTGTTTCGTTTTTTATTACATTTCAGTTGTGCTTACCAGATGAAATAAATGTGAAACTTAATACTGAGATTGAGTTTTGATTCGTTTCTAAAGCCTATACTAGTTATTTTTTAATTCAAACATTTAATAGCTAATTATCAGTACAACATAGCCGAGTCCCAATACTACAGCAGCCCAGTCACCAAACTACCGTACTAGGCTCATTTCGAAGAAAATGATAACTGATATGAATTAACAGTATATTATCACTTTTTTCTCTGCCCTCTTTCATACGTGCTTGATATTTTAAACCGTAGCATTCTTCTCGATCGTCTCTTCTTAATTGATGCTATTCTCACTTCATCAATCTCTCTTTCCAGTATGCATCTTCTTAAATTCCCTCACTATCTAATACAAAGTTAGCGAATCGCCTCAGTTCCTCCATTGTACTCATACGGGACATCCAGTAAACTGAACGTAAGCCGTACGTTGCTAAACAAGTTCAATGTTGTCTCGGATCAGTCAATATACGATTTGATAGGGAAACTTTAAAAATTTGCCTGAAATGAAACCATGAGTAATGTAGAACAAAGACGAAGATCTGAATTTTGCATATATTTTGGGTAAAGAATCTGAAGAAGGCAAAAAAATATGTCGAACCTATGATAAATTTTCTCTTCAATGGTGCCACCGGTTAACAATCTGTATATAGTAACAGCACGTCCCTGTCCAGTACGCCATGTTCGCTCCCGTGCCTTCAAATCTTTTCATTGGATTTTTTTTTTTTTAATTCTATATATGAAAAAAAAAAGGAACTGCATGTGAAACTATTGTATACCTGAATATCGGTAGAAGGATTCCACTCAGGATCAAAAATTACCACTCGATTAGCACCAGTAAGATTGATTCCTAGTTCACTGACACGAGTAGTTAATAGAAAAATGAAAATTCTATTATTCTGCAATGGTAAAAATAAAGATTTCATCTCCTATAAAATAAATCTGGATTTTCTCAGTTTTCTTACAACTAAAAATTCTAATAAAATCCTCTACATGGCCAATACCTTAAGAATTTCTCTTATCAGTTCTTTGTCTGTTTCAGTGTCACTAGAATTACTGATTTGATTTTTGTCATCGCAAAGTTGTTAATGTTCTCCGGATGGATTTGATCTTTTTCTTGAGTACAGTTGATTCGAATTCAGAAATTTTGCTCCTACAAGATGCAAATATGGAAGGTTGGTTTATTTTGTCTGGAACTATTGTTCATCGTAAATTTTATTGAAATTTTTTTTTTCAACTTATTCGTGTTAAGCCGGGGATGGGGTGGATACTCATTTTCAACGTTTTAACACTTATGTTGATTCAAGCTTTATGCGATGAAACAAGTTAACTGTACTCTATTCTGCAATTTTTCGAAATGTTAACCGAATGCTGCACATCTCAATTTTATGTTATTATCCATACATACCAATCATTCGCGGCATAAAAACTAGAATACTATAATACTTACCAATTTCAAATTTTCCGGGACTTTTTTTTGCCTCACCATTAGCTTGCGACAATGGTTATCAAATAACAAGACTTGGAGTTTATCAAATAACAAGAACTTAGATATGGTGTAGAAAAATTATGGGAATGCGGGACTATATATGTGCATAGAAGACTAGAAGATCTCAAAAATTTAGGGGAGATTTGGGATGTGTTCATGTTTGTGCCTAGACAATTGCTGCACAACAGCAAATTTTCACTGTTCAAGTATTCTGGACAGAGACATGAATGCTATGTAAACGCTATAGAAAGAAAACCAAAGGGAAGTTGATCAAAGATACACTGTTGTATATTTTCACTTTGTTAAGGTTTTATCTACGTTTCCCAAAACTTTGTGTCAACTTTCGAATTTATCGATAGAACATTTAATTGCAAAATACAACTAGTTTTAGATAACTGTAAAAGAAACAACTCCACATATCTTGCATACTGAGAGATCAAGATTTAGAAAATTTTTTTAATATTCAAGTACTTAATCAAGTAGGATGAGTATGGTATCTACTAAGTAATGATGGAAGTGTAATTTCTTGAATATGATTTAAAATGAGGAAGTATGAGAAAATATGTTTAGCTTTTATTACAAATCAAGAACTGTGAATCTTATAAATTGCAGCACTCTTGAGGATTGTTAGCTCAATAAGTCACTCATTTGACTTCTTTAAATGCTGTACGCGTGGTTTCATTTCAGAATTACCCGATAATTTCAGTACGAGTATGGAGCAGTTGAAGATGCGATTTAAAAAATTAACTGTGCTTACTCCAAGAGACAAACAAACTGGTATGTCATTTGCTTTATTTTTTTTCCACTTTGTCTGACAGTTACATTCTTTTGAATCTGTGAACTTCTTTCTATGTTATCTATTATTAAACATCATTAATGTTTCATATATAACTGTGGGATTGTGTATGCTTAATGATATGAAGTAAACCAGCTGAATGAAGCCTATAAAAGACCATGAAGTTGAATATTTTTGATCAGAAAACGATACACAACATGGTTGATTTACATGTCGTTTTCTGGTAGGATTATTGTAAGTTTAGACCTGAGACTAAACTCATGGAAGTGTATTTCTTCACTTTAAAATTTAGTAAAAGTTTTTATTAAAACTGAAATCCATAAAATTTTGTGTTAGTCATATTACATACATAATTGCAGATTTTTTGTCAGTAATATTTTTAGAATTAGATGTCAAAGAGGAAATATATGATGCCGTTATCATTGTTACATTTGGTCCCGCACTTGAGTGCTTACTTCGGTCTGCTTTTTTATTAGCGAGGCCTAATTCTGCAGTGAGAGTAATTGTGCGAGGTAAGTCTAATATTATGAAGTGCTCGCGGTTCAGTAGCTTTATTACATTTATTTTGTGTAATTCTTCGCGAAATATTCTTAACTTGGATACTTTCAGATGTTGATGAAGCAAAAGTTTTACGGGAGGTTAAGCTAGCTGGATTCCTGCGTGTCATGAAAGTTGATAATAATGCATGGAAAGCGTATGATTGTGAAAAGGTTTTCTTTAGACTTACTTAAAATAGAATTTAACTCATCATAAAGCTCCGTTTTTCAAAAAGAATTTTTGCCAGGCAATTTAATCTCTTCTTATTTGTTGTTGGTGCTTTATGTCCTGGAATCCTTTCACACTGTTGTGGCAATTCTTTGAGCTGTTTCCCATACTGCAAGAAGTGTTAGACCATGTCGCATGTTATCATGTTTTCAAATATGCTATTCATTGTGATGTGATAACTGAATGATATGTCGTCTCCACTTAGCACTTTTTTACACTTTACATCTAATTGATTTTAATCTAATGGTATTGGTATTTTGCAGCCAAATGTCAGTGTGGGTGCCACAGTACCTTTAAAATTACCGCATTCAAATAAAAAATCAAATGTCTGGAACATAAAGGTGATGGATGATGACTTGATTGATGAGGACACGCTGTTAAAAGATGAAGATTATGTCAAGCCTATAAAAGGTAGAATGTGGGGTATGCCTCGGTATCATCCTTCCATCATTTTCTCCCTTTAAATACTTTTAATTAGTAGTTAGTATCTTGGTATTTTCTAATGAAATAAGATTTTTAGAAAGTCACGAAGAAAAGCTGAAGAAAAGAAGACCATGTAAAAATTGTACTTGTGGCTTGGCTGAGATAGTGGAATCTGAAAAAGTCGTTGCACAACTAAAACCTGGCAAATCATCATGTGGAAATGTTAGTTTTTAATTATTTATATATGGTAGCTTATCTATAATAACTTCTTTTTCGTAAAATTTATGTTTTATTTTAATGAAATTGCAGTTGTCCTAATGATAACTAGTTTTAAAAGATTACAATAAGTTAAATTTTTATGCTTTACTTTTAGTGTGGTCTTGGTGACGCGTTTCGCTGTTCAGCTTGCCCGTATTGGGGCTTACCTCCCTTCAAACCTGGCGAAGAAGGCAGAATTAAGTTGGAAACAGTGAATGACGTTTGACTGTTATTCTATAGTGTTCTTAGGATAGTTTTCATGCAATATGATTGCTGAATTGTGCACTGTTTGTTACAGTTTTGCATCTAAATGGTAAAACTATGTAAGTTGTTGAGAGTTTCACATTTCCAACTTGTGCAGTTGAATTTTAGTGGAACTATTATTGCGTTACATAAATTAAAAATGTGAAACTTTCAACATCTTCGTAAATACACTATCACCTAGATGTTATAGTTTTCCGTTTTAGACTTCTGAGACTTTTCTAGAATAGTCAAATCAACTGTACAGTTTTTGTAGACCAACATCTTTAATTTAAGATATTGGTTGAGTTCTCGAAACTAGCTGATGTAGTTAATAGCATGAGTTTTCTTAAATTTCTTATCTGTGAGGAAAAAAAAATTGAAGTTACTTATTCAAATTTTATTTTCTACTTTTTTATAAATTTGATTTCGGAACATGACTTCGGCACAGCTTATCTCAGATATTTCGCAGTACTGTAGCTTAACATCTGGAACCAAAGTATGTGGCTCGTATCTATTGTAACTGTTAAGATAAAGAAAATATCCTCATCACTAGTTGGTTGGTCGATAACATTTCCGTATTTTATAGAAGTTATCATCATTGTGAACCTGTGGCTTTGTCACTGGCATGGTGTGGTTTCAGTGTATGTCTTGCTATTAATAAATTTTCATGTAAATTTGCTACTTCTGTGCGGTTTTGTTCTCTGGAATATATATTTTTTTTAATGTTTCTATAAATAATTGGTATTATCTTTTCAATAGTTAGAAGTAAAATTCTTTCCGACTTTGTTTCTTAGCATGACTGCTTGCAATTTTTGATTCTTCAGAAAATAAATAGTTCTAGCCAGAAGTATGATAGCTTCCAAGGGGAAGAGATGCTAAGAAAGTTCTTTTCATTATATACCGTTAGATTTGTATTTTATATTTATCGCTTTTCTTGTTTTACGAAAAGTGGAATTCCAGTCCTCATTGATCGCAGGATACTATTTTCTACTGTATTCATTGCACATTCGATTTAATTTATTACTTACATATTTATTTATGATAAGTTTATCGAAATAGAGTGTTGATTTTTTAGTTTTTAGGAAATGTCCATTGCTGACTTTCTTAAGGATTTACCATCACGCGACAAAGCCAATTTTTCTTCTTTCTTGAAACAAGTAACTAAATTTTTGTCGATTAACAGGTAGGGAGCAAACGTTAAAGATGAGATAATTTATATACGTTAAAGATGAGATAATTTAAATATTATATTCATAATATGGTTTGAAATTCACTAAGGCATCACAGAATGATCGTGGTGTTAAGCAGTGGTGTGGAGATCGGTTTCGGTCCTTCAACCTATTTCTGTGACTTATTGCAACTATGGAACTGTCCATCTTTTAGGAATCAGGAAGATCCTTTCCTTTGATCTATCAGATAACTGAATTTTTTGATTTTGAATTTTAGTGTTCATAAAGCTGTATGCCAAGGTTTTGAGAAGTTGATGTTAAAAGAAAAGCTTTAGAAGTAAGAATAGGTTTTTTGTGCTCGGATTTTTTTCCTCTTTTTTAGAATGGAAAGCCGGTAGTGGTTCGTATATCTAAACAAACAGATGATGAAAAACGGATAATATTTGATATGAAACCGCTTTTGTTAAGGTATTTACAGTCAAACTGGGGAAATAATCCAACCTGTTCAACATCGGTAAAGTTCACATATTTCGACGCTTTAATATTTGATCAGCAAAAAATTAAGGCGAATGATGAGAGCTCTTCTGTTGTTGTTGTATTATGGACGTTGTACCAAAGTTATCTATGAGAAGCGCTAAAAGGTTATATGCATGCCCATTATTTTCAGTGATACACAAAAACTATCTTCCATTTAGTTTGCCGTATAGTACATTTTAAAACAATGCAATCTTTTTTTGTAATCGTAGTGCCAAACAATTGTTAAGAGAAAAATTGCTACCGAGATTTAATTAAAATTTTAATTTGAAAATTTCTTCTCTTCGCTGTATCCTTGTGATGCGCGATCCAGTTTTCAAATTATAGTTACTATAAAATAAGCTAGTTATATCTGAACAAAGTGTTTTTCAGAGTAATCGATCAGCACGTTCAGAACGGAAGCGTGCATCTGATGTAAGTAGCAACACAATCGATGAAAGTGAAAGTAGCAGTGGGGCACGTGCTAAAACGAGGCGAAGAGAATGATTCTTACGGTCTGTACTGTTTCGAAAACCTACTGCATAAATTCCGAAAATGTTTATCGTATTTAATCTCTTCCACTATCCGTATTGATCTGGTGTTTCCATTTTCAAGTTGTTCGATCGTATTTCGGTTTTAGTTGTTGTTCGTTGCTTGAACCTAACTTTAAATACTTTTTCAACTTTCAAGTAAAACTATATCTCACGGTGGCTCTTTTTCAGTCTTTGGTTGAATTAGTTATACTGTAATAGTAATGAGAGGAAGATATGTATATACTTTTTAAGTCTTTTAGGAACAGCAAACATTCGTGATTAATTTATTGTTGAAATCTTCTTTAAATAAGGTTCATTTTTTTTTTATTTCTTCTTTACTTCGGTGTTATCAGAAATGTGCGTTTGATGTATCATTTTATTTGAATATTGAAACGAATCATGTGAACAAATAAACGATTGTCCATTAGTTGTTCTGTATAAAACACAATTTAATGAGAAAAGGAGTGTCAACTTTTCGTTCTGCTCTGTTAACACTCTGAAATTTGTATAACTTTGTCATGACTAAATTAGTATGTTCACAGCTATTTTACAGAAACATTTCGGTAGATTTGTTTAAAATTGGCATTAAATTATATTGAGAAGTAAAAAAATTGTTCTTTTGCTTCAAAACCTAAAAACAATATGATCTGAATCGTAAATTATCAAATAGTTGGAAGTAGTACAATTATAATTCAAGTAACGATGAATCATTAGCATCGATCTGGAAAACTATGAACCTTCAGTTATTAGCGATTTCGATATATCGGTCTGGAATTCTGGGATTGTAAATTCTATGCATTCAGAGTTTTGTGCTGTCGAGTTTCTTGAAATTTTATTATCAAATTTAACATTGAAACGAAGGGGAGAGATAATGATATCATGAGTGTTTTCATGTCAAAGTGACTCAGTGAATGTGTTGATAACCAGTCATGTCCTGACATTGTTATTACGTCTTACGTTTTTTCGTCTTTCTTTAAAGATGTGTAAAAATCGCTACTTCATTTGATCAAAATGTTATCATCTGGTGGCATTAGCCAAGTCTGAAGTATAAATTTCGCTCTCACTTTCATTTCATTACCGAAATCTCTCATCAGCTACTGATGTTCTACGGCATAACAAAATTTTTTTCTAATTAATGCTAGTTCCCTCTTTCCTGGACATGTAAAATTCTTAATTATAATCCATGGCGTTTTCTTTAAAAAAATATTAATCAACATTAAATGATCATTCTATTAGTATGATGCAATCCCAACAGACTAGAGAATAATGTCACAAATTTCTAACTCACCAATAAAAAATTGTTAAATTCTTTCACTATTCCAATAATTATTCACATTTTCTTTATCTAAATAAATGCTAGGAAGTTCTAGGAAGTGTTAGCTACCTCTATTTGATTATAAATTTGGTGAGTGACATGGACAAGCTTCTCGTGTAATTCTTCCCAGTTTTATTTGGATGAAAGGAAAAGTGAATAATTCTTGGGATGGAGAAAACACTGAAAAATTTTAGTACTTTATAATCTCATATTTAAGATGGACAGTGATTAATGACAATGATAATAAAAATAATAAATACCTTGTTCGCTGTAAAGAGGTATGTTTTGTTATCCGATGAGATGCAATGAATTCACATGAGGAATTATTGAGAATTTTTTGAGTACCTGCCTTATCTCTTGACGTTAGTGGTGTTTTCGGCGTTAATATTAGATTTCGAGTAATTGGTGTTGAACTGAAATATAATAATTAATAGAAATAATAAATGATAGCATTAGTTGTATTTAAATCGCACAAAATTTGAAGCAGGATTATAAGAATTGTCTGTACAAATGGAATTAGTTTGTTCAATAATTTTCATTTTGAAATTTTTAAACATAGAAGAAAACATTTTACTCTTCGCTAATTTCATTATCTCTAAACGCATCAATGCTTGCGTGACATACGTGATTTGATACGACGATTGGTTTCTACTTGTATCTCTTGTCGTTCTCTCTCCTTCTACTACAATTATTGATGAGATTGTTGGAGCATCTCGATGTATTATTGAAGAGCATGAACTTTGCAACTGCATATTTGAATTGACAGCGGTTTCATCATTCTATAAGCATTATAGTTCAGTCATTAGGTGGTAAAAATTAAGATCGAAATAGAAATCATAATTATCGTGAAGTAGTTTTAATGATTTTAAGGATCTAACTTCTCGAAGATCCGATTAAGTATTGAACTTAGTCTCACTTTTAGAAGTTCCATGTTAAGGTTCCAAAACTTTAGCAATCTAAAATTACAATTTTTCATAACAAATAGAAAGTAACACTTACAATCTTAGGTCGAGTGTCTTTTAGAATCGTATTTCCAAATTCGTTTATACCTGAAACTAGCTTATCTTTTACTTGATGGAGATGAAAGTGATTCTCATGATGCTGAAACAAAGGGTGGCGTTTATTTCACATGCATTCAATTTTCATCATACTGACTACTTCGACGTTCACTTGGTTCGTGTAACTTAGTGATTGAAAACGCAATCGCCATTCGCTTAATTTCACTTCTTATTCTTTGAAAGCTTCATCACTATTATTATTTTCTGCGAAACCTTAGATCATTTCATCTTAAATTCATTTGAAAAACTTATTTGCTATGACAAATAAATCGAAGTTTCGTTTTCGAAAAAAATGGCATTATTTTTAATCCATTACTTTTGAAAAGAATGTTCTAATATAATATTACATGTTGATGGTAATGTTCTTAAGCTTGTTTCCTTATCATTAGATTTTTTGAAAATTTGATCCAAAAAAAGTTTGAAATGCAAAGAATATTGTCATATCAAGTCACAGGTTATTAAAACATTTGATTTCTGGATTTTATTTCTCGATGTCCATGGATTAAAGATAATCCTAATTCATTTTTAATTTACAGCTCTAATTCAAACCCACCAGAAATTCCCAGTTCTGCTATTGAAAAAGTACGATTAGTATCAATTTGAGCATCACAATGTTTTATTCTGCTGATCGTTCTTTTATGATCCGCAGATTGAATATTGCTCACCGAACTTTCCTTTTTTTTGTCATCCCTTATCCAGATCTGACAGAATTCCCTATTTACTTTTTTCGCGATCACTACAGCAAAACCATTAAAAGATGCAATTTTCCCGTCCCAGTTTTCTCTAAATTTTGAAAAAAACAATCAATTACACATGCATTTTTGAAACCCCTTATTCGAATAAATAAATGTTGCAATATGCAGAATGGAAGAAAGGATGTTAGCAGTATTCTACCATCCTCGAGATGAGAGGATGCCTAGAATTTGTCATATAAAGGATTGAAAAAAGTAAGCATTACCTGCTGATCAGGTGATACAATAACATTTTGTTGCTTCATTATTTGGGCTCGTCTGATGCTACCAAAATAGATAGCTATGAAGAAGGAGAGTGCAGCAAATGGTATAAGACCTAGCAATGATAATGTAAGTATGGCACTCCACCTAAAAAAATTCTAATTAGTTGACAAGCTTAAGTTTGGGGATGTCATTATTCTTTTCCTTTCAGAAATGATTTCACTTTCAAATTTCTCAGAACCAAATTCTTCCACAGTTCCCGTGAGTATTATGCATTTCTAGGGCTTCTTCAAAAACTTGTTCAGACTCACTAAAAAAAAATGAAAATTTATGGTATTTTGAAAATGTCATAGTCGAACCCATTATTTGTAACGGCCATATGTTTATTTGGTAAAACGAAAATAGAAAGTGTTGTGATAATAAACCGCTGTTTCAGGTAACAGGAAGTAGAAATAATGAGAATTTACGTTTCCTTTATTAATATTTCGGGAAAAATTTTTTAATACAAATTTGTGCAATTCTAACTGCAAAATACACTGAAATTGATGTCACTTTCATAATTAATCATACAGATGGATGTATTATGGGAATTGTCGAAATGATTTATAATTATTTTCACCAAATATGCAAATTTGATAAATATGGTGAGCAGTTGACAAGATTATAAGAAGTATTAATTTGTTTGATCTGTCATTATTCACTACCGGCGTAATGGCAGTTCCAACGACTCTTTTCATCATGATGTTCATTTTGCTATGCGGAAGCGAAAGTTATGGAAATAGACGCAGTAAGCAAGAATCGGTGTCTTCTTAGTGAGTTAGTGAAGTTAATGAATTAAGCTTGCGATAATGTTTCTTACTTTACTAACTTCATTACAGCAAAAGATGGACAAAATGAAGAGAAAACATATGGACAGTTTAAAGTAATTAACTCAGGCAAGCCAAATACGCTGTTTAAAACCATTGAGAAGAGAGGAGCAGCATCATTCGCCGAAGACGCCGAAGCCAAAGCGGACGAAAATCCTGTTACTGGAACTGAAGTCACTGAAACGGAAAAAGATGCACTTACCGGACAGGGAGGAAATGTAACTGAAGGAACAATGGAGACAGTAAAACAGACGACCGGACAGAAGACAGAAGGACAGGCAGTAGCGGACACTGGGACAGTAGTAAGCACAATAGCGATTGCGAAGGAGACAGTGGCAGAAGCTGGAGTCGTCGCAACGGAAGTGGGTGTTGAAGCAGACATAGCGACGACTAAAGAAAGTGACGGTGCACAGAGTATTGGAGGTATGCTTCCAATCAGTTAGCTTCAATGAACTGTCACCAAAAAAAGTACCCTCTGCAATACCTTCTGCAGCTTGCAGAAGCTATCGTGCAGCGTGATTGTGTCACTAAACTATTCGCATCACGCATGCTTTTTAAAATTCAAAAGTAGGCGCCTCGGTATGTGCATCGATTGGTCATATGAAGCAACACAGAAATTTTAAAAATAAGCAATACTGTTTAGGTTACATGATACATTTGGCTATTCAGTTCTTGGCAACTTATTTCACATTTGGCTTATAAAAATCGACAGAAGATATTTGGCGGAAAACACTTCAGATTTTCACTACCACTCTTTGTTGTAATTCATTTTTGATCGTCGAACATCAAAAATGGAGCCTCATTTCCTTCCTGAATAACTGCGTGTCGTGAAATACAGACGTTAATTCACAAAAATAAAACGATGGCTTTCTTTCACTGTTGATATGATAACAGCAACACATTGTGATATGGTAATAACAATTCAACGTCTACTTCACTTCTGACGCTGTTTATGATCGATTTTAATTATAAAATGAGTCTTTTATCATTGATATGATAGTAACAACACATTATGATATGGCAATAATCAGCTTCATACAATTTCCATTCTATACAGGACAAGAATTTAATTACAATTTGAGCTTTATAAATTACCTTCCTCTGTAATCTGCATTGTTATGATAAATAATCATAATAGATAACAAATAGCATTTATTGACTTACATTCTGCATTTAGAGTTTTGTAATCATTGAATCAGAATTGTTTGCATATGAGATAATTGAGAAACCTAACCAACTGTAGATTACTTTATTGCTAAGACAGCAGAGCAATGCCATATTACAACTGACAATCGCTAGATTTGATCAATCAAATTCGCGGGTTAGCATCCCACGTACTTTTTAGTTTCTCCTCGATTAATAAAATCATGTAATCAGCAACTGTTTAAGAAATAGTTTTACTGAGAGTTATTTAAGAAAGAGCATTGTGCTTTGTCATGCCAGTGATTTGTCATTCATCACAGATTCGATAGTGATGTAAAAGCACGACAACTTAATGAACATTCAGCGGATTATTGTATAATTTAATATCTACTGTGTGTTCATTTCCTTTCTGTTGTTGTATAAACGCAATACTACACGATACCGTACAAAACAATAAAGATATTGCCGACGCTATGGATTAGAACAACAAAAATATGTTACCATAGTTTTCCCCTACGCAAGCAATCTTGTTGTATTCTGTAGCTTTTAAGCTAATACTTCTGATTCGCATACTAAGAAAAATTCGTAGCAATTTGTATCAAAATAGTTCTCTGATTTAATAAAACAAGTGCTGGTGCTTTTCTTATTGCTTATACATCCAATTTGTTAATGCTGCTTAATTTATGACAGTAAATAGATAAAGGGGGAAACCGACTGATTACGGCTATCAAGACTTTATTTACCCAACCACTTCGTCCGGTCTTTATGTCATACTTGGTATAGTTGCGTTTTATAAGTTTATAAGTATACCGTTGCCAAAAGGCTCTTTAACTCACGGCAGTCTTACCTGGGCGGAAAATCTACATTATTTCACCCCCTTCCTGGTAAGGGATACCAGCCAAACTGGCGCCCGGCCGGCATTTTGCGGTTTGCCCGACAATTAGGTAGGATAGTGAAATGTTGTTAGAAAGGTGGTAGTCGTTTGAGGTGTGCATGGATTAGCCATTTGAGCCGTTCTTAGGACCTAAGAAATATATGTTTAACTGTTCCTTCCTGCAGCTAATTTTGTCTACATTCTTCAGATAGAGAGAATGGCTATGGTAATCCCGAAATCTGGATACGCTCGTTTCCTAAAAGAAGGTGCACAGGTATTTGTTATGAAGCATAAGGCTTATAAATCACCGCATTTTGCACTTCATACAAAACTTGGTTTCTCTTGCAGTTGTCTTTGTCTTTTTCCTTTTTTGAGTGTATTGATATATTTGGGATGGTTTTCAGCATTTCAAAGGTACTGAAGAAGCTGTACAACGTAATATTGAGGCATGCACTGAACTTTCTTCTCAAATCCAGTCAGCATTTGGACCAAGTGGTAATGACCTTGTGATAATTCAGTTAATTTACTCAAACTGAATGTAAAATTAAGTGTGAAGGAAATTTTTGACTGAGGTTTGAATTATGCCATTGCGCTGCATATATCAAGTAGCAGAAATGTTCAGGTATGAACAAAATGATGATCAATCATATCGAAAAGTTGTTTGTAACGAATGATGCCGGAACAATCTTGAAAGAACTTGAAGTACAACATCCAGCAGCAAAAATGCTTGTTATGGCCACTCAAATGCAAGAGAAACAGATTGGTGATGGCACGAATACAGTGGTTATTTTCGGTGCTGCATTACTAGAGCATGCATCTCAGCTGTTGAACATGGTGATTATTTGATTCTGATAGTAATTTATTATTTGCTCATCGAGATTATTAGATTCGTGTTGCTAACTTCTTGACCATTCCAAATTGGTATAAGTGAGACATACAGCTGTGAAAATAAATCCACAAGAAGCTTAGCGATAAAAGTATGGTTATACTGGCATACTTTTTTCTCAGCAAATTTAAGAAGTTCAAGATTGATTAAAAAAAAATCTATGTATTTCATTTTATTATTGCTGAAGTTTTATCTTTAGCAATGGTTTTTTCTTTCGATTAAGAAAATTTATAGGGTTTGAATCCTTCCGAAATTGCTGATGGATATGAGAGTGCATTAGACAAAACACTGGAAATATTGCCGTCACTAGTCGTTAAGAAAGCTGACGACCTACGGGATATTAAAGTGGTACAGAAGTATTTGAAATCTGCAATTATGTCGAAGCAATATGACAACGTTGATTTTCTTGCAGATCTAGTTGCCAAAGCTTGTGGTAGGTCGCTTGCGGTTTTGTATCACATATCAAACGTGTTAAGAAACTTAAGATATGAATATGTATTGATAGTCTAACTTTTTTTTTATATTGCTAGTGATAGTGGGTAATATACAAGAATTGATTCTTTAAGTGATAGAAAATGGTAAATAGTAGATTACACAAAATATGATTTGAAATTTATACAACTTGAAATTTTGTTCCAAAAAAAAGTTATTTCTTCACAATTGAATAAAGTGATCAGATGATCATTTCGTATAGTACAAAAGATTAATTTTAGTTCAAATTGTACCAACGAACACTTATAATTTCAACGTGGATAATATTCGTGTATGCAAAATTCTTGGTTCATCTGTGCAGTCGTCAAAAACTATGAATGGAATGATTTTCCAACGTGGAGCTGAGGGTGAAATCAAGAAAGTGGATAAAGCCAGAATTGTTGTGTACACATCTCCATTTGATTTAACACAAACAGAAACGAAGGTAATCACAATAGAAATTGTGTGTTTCACGAATTCAATGAGAGATGTAAAAATTTTCTGTGGAAGGAAACATAGTTTTATGTGTGTTATTCAGTAGCTGCAAATATCTCTGTAAGTATAAAAAGAAACAGCATATTATTGGGATTTAGTTCTCTAGATCATCGAAAAAACTTATGGTATATTGGTCGTCCTGCTGATATTAGTGAATGTTAGGATTTGGTTGGCCAGTTATCAGCATCAGAAAATACATACATTCATAATTTATACTTCTGATTTTTATGCAGGAACTTTCAGTGAGTTTTAATTTCCAGGGTACAGTTTTACTGGAAAGTGCCGATGAATTGCTGAAATTTAGTGCTGGAGAAGAAGCTGAGGTGGAAACTATTGTTAAAGCTCTGGCCGAGAATGGCGTTAATGTTGTGGTAGCAGCAGGAAAATTTGGTGATCTTTATATTCACTTTTTAAACAAATACAAAATTATGGGTGTTAGACTGACCTCGAAATTCGACCTCAGAAGATTGTGTCGTACCACTGGAGCTCAAGCGCAGGCGCGAGTAGTAAGTTTTTGTACTACGTCGAACTTTTATACTTAAGTAGTTTGTTGAAAATATGGTTTCTGCGGTGTTTTGTCTATTAAGTTTCAATTCCTTTTTATTATCAAATTTCAATTGCATTTTAGTTTAGTGAATATTGAA